ATCCCCCTTATTGTCACCCATTCCCAACATGGACACCAGGACCTATGCATGCAGATCCCACAAAAGGAGCATCAAGTGATGCATATGCCATAATCAGCCGGCCGTTCAATACTACTGTGTGGGATGGGGCCAGGTCGGGAAAAGGTTGATGGCCACATTACGCAGCATCCAACCACAACGAAAATGTTTAAATTGGATGTGATGGTCTTGCATGCAGCCCAAGCTTGTTGGAGGCCTTAACGTAGGACATTTGTCACGATTGAGCTTATTAAGACACTCTCATGAAATCTTTTTGGCAAAACACAAAACACTCACCTGTCCAGGCAGGCTACAGACAGCACACAAACACCAAACTGTCAATCGAGCATAGGCTGAGATGCGTTAATAAGCTGTGCATATCATGCATGCGTGTGCATGTGCGATGATCTGGCTGCAATCCTCCGTGCCCGGAGCTCCTGGATGTCCCTACCCGGATTCGAGCCGGGGTCTTCACGGCCACAACGTGATGTACTAACCACTATACGATAGGGACGAGCAAATGGGATGGACAGTCGAGGCCTCACAGCGCAATGGTCCTAGGCCCAAAATTACACACAACAATATTCGAAACCACACTGTATTACCATACAATTCCAAACCTCTCCATGCGGGGCCAACATTGACGGCTTCACTTGCCGGAGAACCAGTTTTGGGTTTGGTGGCGTACTTATTATTATAGTCCACGTCAGAACATAATATGTGTGCTGGATCCGAGAACATTAATATATATTGGGTCTTCTTACTAATGCAGGCCCGTCAGCAGCATAGGGTGATTATGATATATGTGATGAATGATGGGAGCGAGGGGAGAACCTACACTCTGGGAACCTGGAGCCTTCATTCTATATGCGATTCACACTCATTTCACACCTTAATGAAGACCCTTCATACCTTCATGAAGGTACCCTTCATTCCACACCAAATCGAGGGCCCCGGGTCAATTTAGAATGAGGACCACTTCATTACATAATGAAGGTAGCTCAGAATGAACGTCCCTTACGCTTTGAATACCCCTTCTGTCCAAAATGAAGGTGGTCTCCATAAAACGAGCCCATGTCCATCACGTGATATGAAGGGCCCTTTCAGTCCAAAAAGAAGCCGTCTCCATAAAATGAAACATATATATCACGTGATATGAAGGGCC